CACAGAGAACAGACATGTGTACACAGCGGAGGTGGGACTAATTAAGAGAGTAGCACTGAAATATATGCATTACCATATGCAAAACAGCTAGCTAGTGGGAAGTTGCTGCGTAACACAGGAAGCTCACCCTGGTGCTCCGTGACAACCTAGAGGGTGAGATGGGGGAGGTGGGAGGGAGGTTCAAGAAGGGAACATGTGTGTTGTTGTGCTGTGTTCAGCTGTCTGACTGTGAGGCCTCATGGACTGAAGCCCGTCAGGTTCCTCTGTCCATGGGACTTCCCAGGCGAGGATCTGGAAGGGGTTGCCATTCCTTCTCCAGGGGATCTTCCTGACCTAGGGATCGAACCCTCGTCTCTCACATCTCCTGCATTGGCAGGCGGGTTCTTTACCACTAGCCACCAGGGAAACTCCAAGTAAGTATCTTTTAAAAGGCTGTCCCTGAGACCCATCACTCCAGAATTCTTGTATTCATACCAGTCCTCCCTCTTGAAGTCAGTGTTTGTGGGCTTGTACTTCTGGGACAGATGCCTTTGACAAGTGTTCTTATTCTTTGACAAGCCTGCTCCTCTTTTTTTTCATTTTAAAAGGATTCATGAATTGTTTTCCAACCTGATTTTTATTGTTTTTTTCTCTGTTAACAATAACCACTGTGGAAACTTGATGATTTTCTATTGAGTTTGGATTTATTTTTCCAAGAAGCCACGAGAGGACATTTTGATTTTTGTTTTTAAAATGATCATGTCGGCTGCTGTCAGGAATTATAGAGGGGCAGGAGTGGAAGCCAGGATACCAAGTAAGAGATTATTGCAGGAATTCAGGTGAAAGATGATGATGGCTTGGACAGAGTGGAAATAGTGAACATTGAAAGGAGTGGATAGTGCCAAGATATGTTTCTGAGACTTGATGGGACTTGCTGATGGACTGGACTGAGGCAGTGGTGACAGAAAAGGAGAAATCAAGAAGAACACCTAGATTGTTGCTTAAGCAGCCGGGTAATGTTCAGCCACGTTAGATTTGAGATGCCCATATGAAATCCAAGTGGAGTGGCTGAGTAGGCAAACAGATACAAGAGTCTGGAGCAAGGAAAGGTGTAACGCCAGGGCTGGAGATGCAGTTATGAGCAATGGTTACATAAGGTTTTCAAAACCATGAGCCCAAATGAGATGATCTAAAGAACATTCAGATAAGGAGAAAGGGGCCCAGCACAGAAATCTGAGGATTCCAGTATTTAAAAGCTGAGTTGAAAAAGGGCCAGCTACAGCCTGACCAGAGCTGTCACAGAAAACTCCCAATTTCCAACCACGACTTACAAAGATCTGCATGGTCTGACTGCCCACTCCCCCACTTTTCTCTTACCACTCTTCCTACTGCCAACTGCACACTAGCTCTCCTTGTCGTCTTTTCATTTCTTCCTCAGGGGTTAACACCAGCTTTAAAACACTCTCCCTACTGTCTTCCCTTCTCAAGACTGGATCTTTTCAGAGCCCCGCCTAAAAATGCCAAGTCCTAAATGTGGCCTTTCCACACCACCCAATATGAAGTGGTCATCCATTCCCTCTAGCCATTATCCCATTTTAATTATAGAGGACGTGTCCAGTCTTTGAACATTTATCTTTTTGTCCATTTCTCACTACTGAGAGCTCCATGAGAACTGAGACCTTGTCTGTCTTGCTCATTGCTGTACCTGCAACACCTGCTTCTGACACATACAAGACTCCCAGAGATGTGTGAATGAATGAACGAACGAATGTAGTGTGGAGGAATTCTCTTTGTAGAAGTCCTACACACAATTATAGACCCTACTGGGTCTTTGTCCACACAACAAAGACAAGAAAGTCAGCTATTAAGATGTATGCCATCCCGTGAGGAAAATAAAAAATCATTTCTAGCACAAACAAATTCATACTGCTTTGGACTCTTGTTTTTAAATTAACTTTTATTGGAGTATAGTTGCTTTACAACATTGTTAGTTTCTACTGTACAGAAAATGAATCAGCTCTCTTTGTTTTAAACGTTGTATCCTATGGGGGAGGGGGGAATCTATGTAGGGAAAAATCCAATGAAGAAAACCTTTGAAAATAAAAGCTGAACAAAATCAGACCCATTTTAGAGTCTGGGTGCATGAAACAAAAAAACACAGGATTCACAAGGCGGTGGTGGTGGAAGTGGGTAAGTAGGTGGTTGCACGTTCTTTTCAGGACTGAACGAAATCTTTCTTCTTTCAGTGTAGATGTTTAGTTAAAGGCTGTGGGCCGTTAGAGCTGGGAGAACCCATGGAGAACACCTGATCCAGCTTTACAGAGGCGGCCAGAAAGGAGTGGCCAGCTGCCTAACTTTCCAGTTTTTGCAGACCCAAGCCTGGACCAGAATGTAGGTCTTCTGAGCAACTCCCAATCCAGAGGTCTCTTCACTGGGCTAGGCTCTCTCCCCAGCTCTGAACTTACTTACAGAAATGTATCCAAAAAATCTTTCTTTTTTCAGAATTGGTAATCAGGGCAATTAAACTCTGTATAGAAATATTCTCGAGAACCTAAGTCACTGATCAGCATCCTAATCGTCCCTCTCCTCTGCCTTTTATTCCAATTAGCTCCCCTGTAGTCAGTCTTCTTCCAGGCTTTTCCTCTCCTTGTCATAGGAACTCAGGGCTCAGCACCGTATTTCTGACTCCCAAGTATCCCCAAAGCTCCCATGGGCAACTACACCCAAACTGATCTCCTGTTCTGACCTTACCACTGAATTTAGACTTGTATATCCAGTAAAGGCTTCCCCGGTGGCTCAGTGTAAAAAAACTGTCTGCAATGCAGGAGACATGGGTTTGATCCCTGGGTCAGAATATCCCCCAGAGAAGGAAATGGCAGCCTACTCGGGTATTCCTGCCTGAGAAATCCCATGGACAGAGTCTGGCGAGCTACAGTTCATGGGGTTGCAGAGTCAGACATGACTTAGCAACTAAAATAACAACAGCGTCCAATACCTACTTAACATTTCCACTTTTAGTGTCTGTAGTGACATACACCTTTTCATTCCCAATATGGGTTGGCATTTTTTTTTTTCTTCAGGAAAACTTGCTAGAAATTTGTCTATTTTGTTAATCTTTTCAAAGACTCAATGGCTTTCTTTTCTATTTCTGCTCTTATCTCTTTCATCCTGCTCTTGTATAGTTTCTTTAACAGGACACCAAGCTCATTTTTAAAATGCAAGTAAGGACTTAAAGCTATAAACTTTTCCTTGAAGCCGTTCTCTGCATCACTGTAGGTTCTCATATTATTAGTTAGTGCTTAGTAATTTTAAATTTCTATTATTTATATTTTCTCATTAAGTCTTCTCAGTGCACTAAATTTTTAGCTTTATCTAGAACCTCTAACAACGCTTTTGACTTAATGACATCTGTTTTGTCTGTATAATCACACTAGCTTTCTTTTGGTATTTTCCTGATTACATTTTTCCATTCTTTGATTCTAACTTTTCCATGTCCTTATGTTTTGTGTAGTATATTTTAATCCAATTTATCTTTTTACCAGTGAATTTATCTCATCATTTTACCTTTTATTTCCATATCATACTGTTTGGTTCTCTACTTGGTCTTTTCTTGGTCTTTTACTTTTAACTGGTATCTCCATCTTTCATCTAACAAGATGAGAACTTTAATATATCCCCATATTCTCTGGTCTCCTCCCATTCCAACTGTGTTGATACAGTAAAGAATTTCAGTTCTAAATTGTTATGAATATACTTGAAATTTAGTATTTTTCTTTACCTTTGTATTTTATTCTTTTTAAGTTATCAATAAGCTATCACTTTTCCTCTCAAATCTCAAGCATCTCCTGGATTTGTTTCTCTTTTATTTTAGTATTTTCTTCAAAAGTGTTTTTAATTTGCATCTTTGGGTGGAAAAATCTTCTGAAGCTTTGAAAGTCTGAGAGCATGTTTATTATGTCCTCACATTACAGTAACTATCAAGACATGAAATCTAGTTTCAAATTTCATTTTCAATTTCATATTCTTGAGCTGGGTATAGTGATCTCCAAACACAATTAATTAAACTATGCTAACATCCTAAAATCAAAACCTTACAGTGATTAAGCTTTGTAGAATATTTAAGTAAAAAAAAGTTTACTTTTTGTTTCAGAAATGTATATATGTAGGTAGAAAATATCTGAAAATCTATTCTTCAAAAATATGAAGTGGCTTTCACTAGATGGGGACACTAAAGTAATTTCTTGTTTCTTTTTGCTTTTCTGTACTTAGTATATGCAGGAGATGTTACGAGATGCGTGTTTGATCCTTGGGTCAGGAACACCCCCTGGAGGAGGGCAAAGAAACTCCAGTGTTCTTGCCTGGAGAACCCCATGGACAGAGAAGCCTGGTAGACTATGGTCCATGAAGTCACAAGGAGTCAGACAAGACTGAAGTGACTTAGCATGCATGCATGCTTCAGGAAACTATTTACTCTTAGTTTTTCCAAACAGTTTCTATTTTATAATTTGAAATTTATAAATTAAGAGGTTCTATGATCAGTCTATCTTTTGCAGGTATCACTCTTTCAACCCACATCCCTTACAACTCCCTGGAGGACACATCATATTAATTTATGTCCTTTCAATGATTACTCAGTGCTCAACAAATATAAAGTATAGATACATTACATCAAGATGCCAAAAGAATGCATCTCTAGGATAAAATCTGACAGTCTTCTATCGGATATATTTAAACTAATCACCACAATAATGGGATTCTTTAAATCAGAACCGAATGATTAAAACAGAGAACTTTCTTTTCAGAAGAAGCCTTTCTTTAAATAAAGTCTTTTCTTTTAATCCTAACATATAAAAACAGACAAAAATAGAGTCATTCTAGTCGGTGTGGGGGGAGGAAGGTGATCCTGTCCACTTAGCCTTCTTCCTTGTCCTTCATAGGCTGCTGCACAGTTTGAAAATTACAGTTCAAATTCAACTGACCCTACACACCATGTCAGAGCTAGAAGAGAAAGCAAAAACACACTCAGTTTAACGTTTATTTAGCTATTTTTTGCAACTATAAATTACAATCACTAGTACACCTGTAATTCCTTATAGTGTGTTCAACTAAATAATAAGCAAACACAGCATAGGTCAGTTTAAAAAGAAATCACAGTACTTCTTAGTATAATCTGCAAAAGAGGGAAAAAGTCTTGGACCCGCTCCTTGGAAATAAATATCAAGTAACCGTAAAAATATTCAGCCATTTTCCAGGTCTTCAGAGAGGTTCGTGGATGGTCCCCGGCAGAACATCAGAGTTCCTCTTTGAAATAGCCCAGCTTTGCCAATGACATCTCTTTTCTCAACTGCATAACTTCCCAAAACATTTGGTCAACTACAGAAACAGAAAAGAGGGACACATAAATCATAAAATATCATCTTAATTATTTTCATTTCAATGAAAATTTAGGATTAGCTGAAATGCCAACTGGACATTTCTAATGATGTACCTAATGCTTAACATCCTATCACTTGTTTCACACTAACTTTTCCATGTACTTCTGAGCATCCCAGTTTTATTAATAAATATATTTACTGATTTTGCCACCACAATTTGTTAGATATTATCAACGAATATCATTTTAGTCCAAAAGAAGGTAGACATTTCAGCATCCTGAGTAACTGGCGATGTTGCTGCCTTCTTGAGTAACTATTCTCAATGCTCGATTGTGCAAGAGTTACTATCTCACTTATGGATCTTCTTGCTCTAGTTTGCTAGAGCCAAGTTTGCTCTATCTTGGCCATTTTTCACTTTTCATTAAAACTAACAGAGTAAATAGGAAAAAAGGAAAACATGAGACACTCCAGAGAACTCAGTAACATTCTTTGTAATAACAGGGAAAGATTCTGTGTATGGCTCAATTAGAAATAAAAATAAATTCAGAGGATAAGCTGGAAATTTCTTTTATCTCTGCTTCTGTAAGTCCCCTCTAGTATGTGGGGAAAAGTTGGCTCTGTTTTAGATTATAAAAGGTCTCCCTCTGACATATGATCAGATTAGACTGATTTAGATCAGTGGTTCTTAACCAGGGAGATTCTGCCCCCCAGTGTACATATGGCAATGTCTGGAAATGTTTTTCATTAATCACATCTACTGAGTAAAGCCCAGGAATGCTATTAAAACATCCTACAATGCACAGCACAGCCTCTCTCAATAAAGAATTATCTGGCTTAGAATAGTAATAGTACCAAGGCTGAGAAACCCTGCTTTACATTTAGCTGCCTTAAATCCTTTTCAACACAAGGCACAGATAATAAACAGAATGTAAAATCAATAATAATTTACTACAAACCCATGCAATATATAAAGTATACCAAATACTGTGAAATGAAAGAATAAGAGAAGCCAGAAAAGATATCACTTTCATCACTGTCAACCCCCGCCACTTATGACCCTTCCTTCCTATTTTTATAAGTAGAGTACTTTTCACTCATCCCTACAAAAACTCTTTTATAACAAGTAGAAAAAATATGCTTGACAACTTGGCACAAATCACCTGTTCTTAAGCTTAAATAGTATTACCTACCAACAGCTATTCAAAAAGATTTACATTTTATTAAAGTCAGAAAAAGTCAGTTCAGTTAGTTCAGTTCAGTCGCTCAGTTGTGTTCAACTCTCTGTGATCCCATGGACTGGAGCACGCCAGGCTTCCCTGTCCATCACCAACTCCCAGAGCTTGCTTAGACTCATGTCCATCGAATCGGTGATGCCATTCATCCATCTCATCCTCTGTCGTCCCCTTCTCCTCCTGCCTTCAATCTTGCCAAGCATCAGGGTCTTTTCTAATGAGTCAGTTCTTCACATCGCATGGCCAAAGTACTGGAGTTTCAGCTTCAACATCAGTCCCTCCAATGAACACCCAGGACTGATCTCCTTTAGGATGGACTGGTTGGATCTCCTTGAAGTCCAAGGGACTCTCCAGAGTCTTCTCCAACACCACAGTTCAAAAGCATCAATTCTTTGGCGCTCAGAATTCTTTATACTCCAACTCTCACATCTATCCATAACTACTGGACAAACCATAGCTTTGACTAGATGGACCTTTGTCAGCAAAGTAATGTCTCTGCTTTTTAATATGCTGTCTAGGTTGGTTATAGCTTTTTTTCCAAGGAGCAAGCACCTTTTAAATTCATGGCTGCAGTCACCATTTGCAGTGATTTTGGAGCCTCCCAAAAAAAGTCTGTCCCTGTTTCCATTGTTTCCCCATCTATATGCCATGAAGTGATGGGACTGGATGCCATGATCTTAGCTTTTTGAATGTTGAGTTTTAAGCCAAATTTTTCACTCTCCTCTTTCATCTTCAACAAGAGGCTCTTTAGTTCTTCTTCGCTTTCTGCCATAAGGGTGGTGTCATCTGCGTGTCTGAGGTTTATTGATATTTCTCCCGGCAATCTTGATTCCAGCTGAATGCTTCATTCAGCCTGGCATTTTGCATGATGTACTCTGCATATAAGTTAAATAAGCAGGGTGACAATACACAGCCTTGGTGTATGCCTTTTCCAATTCGGAAGCAAGTCTGTTGTTCCATGTCCAGTTCTAACTGTTGCTTCTTGACCTGCATACAGATTTCTCAGGAGGCAGGTAAGGTGGTCTCGTATTCCCATCTTATGAAGAATTTTCCACAGTTTGTTGTGATCCACACAGTCAAAGGTTTTGGCATAGTCAATAAAGCAGAAGTAGCTGCTTTTCTGGAACTCACCTGCTTTCTTGATGATCCAACGGATGTTGGCAATTTGATCTCTGATTCCTCTGCCTTTTCTAAACACAGCTTGAACATCTGGAAGTTCATGGTTCATGTACTGTTGAAGCCTAGCTTAGAGAATTTTGAGCATTATTTTGCTAGTGTGTGAGACGAGTACAATGGTGCCGTAATTTGAACATTCCTTGGCATTGCCTTTCTTTGGGATTGGAATGAAAACTGACCTTTTCCAATCCTGTGGCCACTGCTGAGTTTTCCAAATTTGCTGGCATATTGAGTGCAGCACTTTAACAGCGTCATTTTTAGGATGTGAAATAGCTCAACTGGAATCCCATCACCTCCACTAGCTGTGTTTGCAGTGATGCTCCCTAAGGCCCCCTGACTCTGCATTTTTACCAGAGTCATAGAAGCGCTGCACGGTTCAAAGACTGCTGGCATGCTCCGCAGCCCTTTTCAATATCGATCAGAGGCAGGTTTCACCCTGTTCTTTTAGGCATTAAAACCTAATTACCAAAGAAAAAACCTAATTACATGGGATTATAAACAAATGACTATTTTCAATATACCCGAGTCTGAAGATGCTAAACTTAAGTTTTTACCAACACAACTAATTCTTCCAAGGATTAACATTCACTGATTTACATTACTAAAACACAGTAGGCTTTTACCAGTTTTTTCAGTATAAGAAAATTTTCAGGGTCTGGAAAAAAACTAAACAGGAAAATTCTCCACAACTTCAAATACAAAATTGGCATGGACTTGTCCCTAGCTCAGTATCTGCTATTTCTGTTTTAAAACAACCATGTGTATCAACAAATACATATTTTGGAGTTGTCAGGTCATGTTAGTTTCTATGCCTGTATTTAAGACATCCGACTATAACATCATAACTAGTCATGAAAGACTACAATTAAAAATGCTGCCAGCCTGGCACTAGGTTAGCTCTCTGGATATACCATCTACATGTTTCTGTTGATTTGGAAGACAGTGATCTTTACTCCATTAGGAACTGCCCTCACGACTACTTGATTAACTCACATGTGAAAGAAGAAAATACAGAAAAAGCTTAGTGCCCTGTGGCCTCCACTAATTAAAATAAGCCTGCAACGTTTAGAGCTTGCTCAGTTTTATTTCTTAAGGAGTATATTCTATGGCCTTTATACTCCTCTCACATTTACCATCTGGTTTGTCATATATTCCTTAAACATTAAAACTGATCCTGCTTCAAACTCAAGATTAGAGTAAAATGTGACAAATCTAAGCATTAAATACAGCATGTTTTAAAAGATGCTTTTGTTCCCAAATTCTTCACACATTTTATTAGACCTATAAAAGAGATTCAATATAAATGTACCAGTAACGTTTATTTGAGCATTACTATTATGTTCTGTACTTTTTACTTAACTTTTATGGAAATATTTTATAATGAATTGACACTCACCATCTTGCTGTTTCACAAGTCCCTGCTGAATGTACCGAATGTATGTGAAAAAGTTACAGACAGACGTGATCTAGGCCAAAAAGAAAAGAATGTTAAACAGTCAAATGTTTCATGTCAAAGAGAGCTTTATTAAAATTCATGATTACGTTACTTACCCTGTATCTGCAAAAAGGAGAAATATAATAGTAGTTGCTTGAGTCCCCTAGTTTAATTCTGTGTTTACAGGACTTGCTCTGACCTGTGAGGGCACATTTTCTGTAAAATAAGGATAAATTTTAGTTTTTAAAAATTAAAAGCATTTTGCCTCTACTTTCTGAACAAGTTGCACATTCATTCAGACAACAAATATTTGACAACCTTCCCTGTATCAGGCACTCTGTGAAGATGAGAAAGACAAAAGCCCTACCCTCTAGGGCTTACATTCTAATAGAAGTTTACAGGCATAGCATTCAGCATGGTTCTAGAAATAAAAGCTAGATGTTTTAATATATGTCCTTGCTCAGTCTTTTCAGTTGTGTCCGACTCTCTGCGACCCCATGGACCACGGCCCGCCAGGCTCCCCTGTCCATGGGATTCTCCAGGCAAGAATACTGGAGTGGGTTGTCATTTCCTTCTCCAGTGATAAAGTGTGAAGTGAATGAAGTGAAGTCGCTCAGGCGTGTCTGACTCTTTACAACCCTGTGGACTGTAGCCTACCAGGCTCCTCTGTCCATGGGATTTTCCAGGCAAGAGTACTGGAGTGGGTTGCCATTTCCTTCACCAATGTATGTCCTAACCAGGAACAAAGTTATAAATAAACAATCAGCTGCAGGGCAGGCCACAGCTTTCCACTGGGACTTCAACTTCTGTCTTAGTTGAAAAAAACTTAAAGTGACTGTTCAAGTCTCAAAACATGTTACTGATGCCCTGCAGGACAATGGTTTCCAGATGGGATACTTTTTGGTGTGCTGGGTTGGTGTATATGAATTTAATGTGGCACCTAGGACTGAGAAATACAAAGGAATAAGATCCCTTACAAATACACTGCATCTTAACAATTACAATTACACAAAGGGTACACACTACATTTAGACATACCAACCTTCCTCTTTGCATACTACTAACATGTATGAGGGTTTTCAGGCTACAAGAGGGTGGAAGTCTCTTGAGATCAGAGAATGTCCCATATTCATCTTTTAACTGCCTGACAGTAAGTATCTGCTAGGCAGGGAGCAGACCTTCAATGGTTGCTGGTTAAGCGACAGGCCACCTGTCACTCTACTTGCTCAATAAGATCAGGCTGGACTCATAGCAGCCCAGCCATCACCCTGCTAAATCAGAAGCTTGGCTAAAGACAGCTACCACTCCTCATCAATGCAAAATCAGGGTAGCTGTAAAGTAAAAGAAAGTGGCCAGTAGCATTTATAGGACATTATAAGTTATAAAGAAAAATGTATTAACTAGACATTGAATTTTCAGCTATACTTACGAGACATATGAAATGAATGTGGCTCCATATTAAGCAAACACACAACAAATGGTTCCTTAAAAGAGAATAATTTTGGCCATTCAAATCACAAAAGAATTCTTACCTTTTCAAAGAGATTTCACCTCACTGTTCCTTTATTAGCAAATTCCTTTAATGATCTATAACAATATTTAAAAGCACTACTACTAGCTTGAGGAGGATGGACGATCAAGAAAGTTAAGGCACAAATGTTAAAAGTCCTTCGAACTATACTATTTTAAGTATAATTTATACAAGAGAAAAAAAGTACCATCAAACATAAAGCATTACACTGCTCTTCTGGAAGCAGACATATATCTGTTTGTCTACTATTTTTCTAACTTTCAAATGACTCAGGTAAAATGGTTTTAAGTATCAACTTTTAAAATAATAAAGTGTTTAAGTTATCTCATTTCTGAAGTTAATATATTTTTATTTGATTTAGAATTCAATGCTGTCTTCTGACCTCTAGTTCCAATTAAAAAAAAAAAAAAAAAGACATACTACACTACCTCAGTATCTCAATAGCTCTAGTCCCAAGAGTTCAAAGCCTTGCTTGCCATTTTCACTCAAGGATGTCAACGTGTCTAAGTCTGCATCTATCATCTTGTATACCAGAGCCCTTCCTACTAACTTCCAAAAGCTCACATCACCCATCCAATGGGTCACCTCTACCCGCTTTCTTTACACATCTTTCCTCCCCATACACTCATCATCCACTGAGCGTAGTTTCCTTGTTCCCTTCTTCAGTCTTTGTTACCCAAATTCCACCCATGCTTCTGAGTCCAGATCAAACCAAAGCCCCTCCAAGAATAGTTCTGATCACTACCAGTGGAGTGACCTTGCCTTCCACAAAACTCCCAGAGCACTATGCCACTCACTTAGTGACTGCCTTGACAATCTCATCCACAAGAGCCTTAGCCGGGGCCATACTTCACATTTCATTAAAAAAAAAAAGACAAGACAACATTTTCTTTTAGTTTTCTCCACACAATATGCACTGCAAACATCTTGGCTTCTGGCCCCATTTCCACAAGCACAACAATACCCTTAACTATGTAAATTGTCCCCTAAATAGCTCAGTTGGTAAAGAATCCACCTGCAATGCAGGAGACCCCCTTTGATTCCTGGGTCGGGAAGATCCACTGGAGAAGCGACCGGCTACCCACTCCAGAATTCCTGGGCTTCCCTTGTGGCTCAGCTGGTAAAGAATCCGCCTGCAGTGCAGGAGATGTGGATTTGATCCCTGGGTTGGAAAGATCCCCTGGAGAAGGGAAAGGCTACCCACTAGAATATCCTGGCCTGAAGAATTCCATGGACTGTATAGTCCTTGGGGTCACAAAGAGGTGGACATGATTGAGTGACTTTCACTTTCATTCAGTATAATTGTTTTACTAAAATATTGTAAAAATCTACTGTAATTGAGATTTCATTTGATGATATTGCACATTTAATCTGTGGGATAGATATAATGCAACCATAAATTTAAAATCATACAATAAAAACTGCTATCTGTAAAATAAGGTAAAACACAGAACTCAGAAGTACAAAAACTGCTATCATTAAAGATCAGGATAAAAACACCCAGAATCTAGGAATGTAAATCTCTTCCCCAAGATTCAGAGGCCACCATACTACAAGTCTGGCACGGGGAGCATAAAAGAGGACACAGCTCTAGGTGGACAGACCTGTGGCTCACGAGCACACACAGGACTGAAGAAATCAGTTACCCAAACACCAGTGCTGATTGATCCTGCGGAAACTGCAGTGTGCCTAATAGGAAACAGGAAGAACCAGACAACCCCCACACCTGGCTTTAACAGACCTGGCAGTTCATCTCAACCAGTCGTTTCCTCTTCTGCCTTCAAACAGCCTGCCTGATAGGATTCAACTGTTGCTAGCTAGGACTCCAATACTTTGGCCACCTCATGCGAAGATTTGACTCATTGGAAAAGACCCTGATGCTGGGAGGGATTGGGGGCAGGAGGAGAAGGGGACGACAGAGGATGAGATGGCTGGATGGCATCACCGACTTGATGGGCATGAGGTTGAGTAAACTCTGGGAGTTGGTGATGGACAGGGAGGCCTGGCCTGCTGTGATTCATGGGGTCGCAAAGAGTCAGACACGACTGAGCGACTGAACTGAACTGAACTGAGGAGCTCTCTTGGGCCTCCTAGGTGATGCTAGTGGTAAAGAACCTGCCTGCCAATGCAGGAGACATGAGAAACGTGGGTTCAATCCCTGGGTGGGGAAGATCCCCTGGATGAGGGTATGACAACACACTCCAGTGTTCTTGCCTGGAGAATCCCATGGACAGAGGAGCCTGGCGGGCTATGGTCCATGGGTGGCACAGAATCAGACACAGCTGAGCGACTTAGCATGCACGCATATGAGCTCTCCTGGGCTCTTCAGTCCCCTCATACTGATCCAGTTTTTAACCAACTAAGCAGCTTCCCCTAAATTTTTCAAAGTCACTTTTTAAACAGCTATGCCAAAGGTTTTTAAGTACTGCTGGTTTCAGTCTTTCCTCCTCCCAGAACTAGTTGGAAAAAAGCTTGTTCTGTTATGAAATGTGGAGTCACTCCTGAAGGTACACAACTGTCAAATATCTCTTACACATGAAGACAGAAATGTTTCTTTACCAAAATGAGAAAGCTTTACAATGAGAGTACTGAAGGAGAGGACTAGCCAAGTCTTTTTGGTAACCTGTTTTCATGCTTGGTAAGACTTGGTCTAATTCACTGTCTAATTCACTGTCAAATTATTTTTGACAGCAAACTTTAGGAAAAAATTATTTTATACAAAAAGCCCAGAACATGAAAAGTATAACAAAAAGAAAATCTGCTTATGACCCATTAAAGAGATTTCATAATCAGGTAATGGATTACAATATGTGGTTTTAAAAAAAAAAAAAGTTTCTGACACCTGATCTACCTGGATCCCACGTACAGGTCTGTAATTAAAGAGCTCTCCACTGACGATACATCTGAAATCCCCACACTGCCTGCGGGTTGGTCTCTGGGCTGCACAGACTCTAAACAGAAAACCGCCGAGAGATTTAACCATATTTAAAACCAGAAAAAATTAAAGTAACTGCAACACATAAGATTTTGAACACTCAGTATTCTTCTACAAGACATGGTTCTGAAAACATACTTTGGTCCTCCACATTCAACTGCAGATGCTTTCACGAATCGGACAGGTTGTAATCCCACTGGTTCAATGCTTAAAGTGTTGTTTTCCACAGCCTCCAGAACAGCTGAAGCCAACTTCACAGAACACAGAAAAGTATTAGATGCTGACAGGAAAATGTAAAAATTCTAGTTCACAGTAAACTGATGTTTAAAAATTATTTTTCCCCAAGTCCGCCTAGATTTGCCTTAGCTAATGAAAAAGAAAGAAACCACATAAGCATGGTTTGAATTATTTTATAACTTCAATATTGTTATGAAAAGTGATTCAGTTACAGCTAAATAACTTTTCTCATTTTCTGGAAGGAAATTAAACACATTAATTCCAGATCACCCCTTATCCACAATTAACATCCACTATTAAAGTCACTTCAAAATGAATATCCTAATGTTTGATTTTGCTAAATTTAAGCATTACTTCTTAATACTGGTCATCGTAACAGAGCAATATATATTAAACAGAACTATATATTTAATGATCTCGTATTTATGTGCACAAGAGTATACAAAAGAATTAAATGAATTATCAAATATTAAATGCCCAGATGGAGATGGTAGTAACTGATAAACAATTGATGAAATGGGCAAACTACTTTATTCTGGCAAGATTACTTATACGTAGCAATCTATCTAAAATTAGGGCCAGAGCAATAATGACTAACAGCTATATATCAATAGCATTTTATTCTTCCTCCTAACTTCTCCTTACAAGTAGTATTGTAATTAAATTCTCTGAAGACTCTTAGGATTAAACTTTCTAAAAACACTTATTGATTGGATATTTGTAGACAAACCTTCCGCATATAAGAACAACTTAAAATTATGACCTTACATTTGCACAGTGTTTTAAGGTTTTCTGTCTACTTGAAAATGTCAAAGTTAGTCACGCAGTCATGTCCAACTCTTTGAACTGGACTGTAGCTCACTAGGTTCCCCTGTCCATGGAATTCTCCAGGCAAGAATACTGGAGTGGGTAGCCTTCCATTCTCCAAGGGACTTCCCAACCCAGAGATTGAACCTGGGTCTCCTGCATTGCAAGCAGATGCTTTACCATCTGAGACACCAGGGAAGTTTTTCTATCTACTTAATTGACTTTGTTTTGTCTTAACAACCCTGAGACCTGGGCAAGGAAGGCATTTTTTCCCTGTTTTAAAGATGAAGGAACTAAACAGGAGTTTTAAAATCACATACAGATAAACCAAACAGCTTGAAGTGTACAGAAATTCCTTTACACTGACTCTTGGACTGAAAGTTAAGAAATAAGCACAACCCCCTTAACATATTTAATACTTCACTCCAGTGCAAAACACACTGCAGTGTGACTGATCCTCTGCTCAAATAAGGAAGGAGGATCAGCAAGTGAATGCCAAGAAATTACTATGATCCTAATATGGAGTGGAGAAAATGGTAAAACATGACATTTTATAAATTATTTATGTAAGAGATACTAAAATATGTAACATGTCTAAGTAAAAGGTATAGGAACAACTCTAATGCATTTCTTTTAAAGTTTTTTAAAATTACCTCACTTTTTGAGAAGGTTAAACAAGGAAAGATATCTTCCTGATAGATTTTGTCTAAGAAAGGACAGGTTCTGTCCATTGTGGGCTCATCCTTCCAAGATCTGAATTCATTATACAGGGATAAGTCAGCCTGACAAAAGAAAATATAAAATAACTTTAAAAAAAGTACAAACAGAAAATCACTTTATAAAACCAAAACCTAATTAATATAGTACCAAAAAACAAATATTCTTTATTTAAAATAACAATTGAACCATTATTTATTAGTTATAATACGGGATAGCAATTTTTTAATTGAAGTATAGCTGATTTACAATATTGTTTGTTTCAGGTGTATAGCAAAGTGACTCAATTAAACATTTTTTTTCAAATTCTTTCCATTATAGATTATTATAAGGTATTGAATATAGTTCCCTGTTGTTGTTTTAGCTGCTAAGTCATGTCCAACTCTTTAGTAACCCCCTGGAGTGTAGCTCACCAGGCTCCTCTGTCCACGAGGTTTTCCCAGGCAAGAATACTGGACTGGATTGCCATTTCCTTCTCCAGGGGATCTTCCCCACCCAGGGATTGAACCTGCCTCTCCTGCTCTAGCAGGCAAGATCTTCCCCACTGAGCCACCAGGGAAGCCCATGGTTCCCTGTACTATACAGTAAATTCTTGGCTTATTTTATATACAGGGGTGTATATCCGTTAATCTCATACTTCTAACTTATTCCTCTCTCAGCCTTTCCCCTTTGGCAACCAAAAGATCCCTTTCTATGTCTGTGAGTCTGTTTCTGTTTTGTAAATAAATTCATTTGTACCTGTTTTAGGATTTCACATATAAGTGATCATATTTGTGCTTTTCTTTCTGACATCTTCAGTGAGTATGATGCTGTCTAGATCCATTTATGTTGCTACAAATGGCAATATTTCATTCTTTTTAAAAAACAATCTAAACTCCCAAATAACTAGTGGGTGCTTTTCAATGTATCCACTATGGTGTCAATGATCACTACCATTACCCACCCACCAAAAAAGTTTAACACTAATGTTGGAGTTCTTCTTAAGACGCAGGTGCGCACTGTTCTGAACACAAATGTCTTCTGAAAATAAACAATTTGGAACCAAGTTAACTAAAACAAGTGTTTAAATAAGTAGAGGCTGACCAAATTGTGAAATCTATTTTGGGGTCAAAAGTGACACCAACTGTTCAGCTAGTTAAGGCATTTCCAGAATTTTCTAAATTTTTACTGTATAAGCTGCAAAACTAAAAGCAGCACACATGCAGTCTCCTAAATTGACTATCTCAAGTATAAAACATTCATTTAGGTTTTTTTGGTCACTTCAACATCTAGTATCTACCATCTGAGTTACCAATAAATCCAGCGGGCAGCGGCCTTCCTATTCACTCTTCCAGTTGTCTCTTCTCTTTCCTTCCAATTTAATAAATTTTCCCAAGGATTCTTCTCTTCGGATTCCCTCAGCCCAGCTCAATCCTGCCCATCAGCATATAAGGATCCACCCAGCCCCCAGCCACCCAAACAGAGCAGTGTCCCTCACCCGCCCGCAGCTCTAAGCCACTCTTGTCCAGAAGCACTAGATAGCCTGTAAATAACACATGGACTGCATCAACGGCCTCCAGGACAGCTCAGTCAGATGTGCATGCATCTATGTGAAAGTAACGAAAGACTGGCTGTACCCCAGCTTTCCTAGAGACTTTCCTTTAAAGTGTATAATGGAAATCTCAATGTGAATTTTTTTCATCCCAATCCATAAATTCCTTGGATCAAAGCTAAAGGCAAAAGGATAAAAATATTAGCAGATAAGTAATACATTTACAAATTAATTTTCTTTGTAAAGTCTACCCTTTGATGTATAGAAAACCCAAAGTGGGTAAGTAGTGTTATGAGAAAAGATTCTAGTTGAAAGGCAATAATTTAAACTACTTATTAAGAGCTGACTCTGTCTGGAACTATAGTAATAAGCACTTCACAAACATTTAATCCTCAAAGCTGGGCAAGATAAATATTATAACCTCCATCTATAGATAAGGAAACGAGGGTTTACAGAGATAAAATAACTTGACCAAGGTTACCAAGCAAGAAACCAGTGAAAGTTCACATTTGAGTGACTTGATCTCAAAGCCTTGCCTAACTGTGTGCGCATGCATGCACCCGTGTGGTCAGTGATTTCAGAACAGACACTGTAAATGTCATGACTGAATGCCCCCATAACATTTTCTATAGAAACATGGACATGTTCCATTTTCTGTCCAACTATTATATCTAAAATTTACACAGGTCAAATATATGTGTTTCCTTTGTCTAATAAAATATTTTGACAAGTTTTTCACAAAATATTACAACATATAGCCAGAAAGCAAAATGTTATATGCTGCCTATATGCATATTTTAAGGAATTTCACAAATACAAAACTTTAAAACGTTCCATGAGAAACATCTAAGTTTTCTTAGTGTAAACAACAGGGAGGAAAGGGCATACACACTGAGAAACCACAGCAAAAATACAAGTTGTACCAAGCAGCTAAAAATGCTATCAATACTGAAAGAAATCAGAATTAAAGTTATGACTAAAAAAGTTTCTTAAATATTTAACAGAAGCCAGTGTGAATTTTAATTTCAGCACATTCAGATTTAACCAAGTATTGAACTTCTCTTTCACCAGCATCTTTTTTTTTATGAATAACTAAACAATATGCAATTCAACTAAAATGAGCAACAAGCCTGGTTATTCAACTTAATAAACTCCTGGCTTCTATGTAAAAATCTAAACAAGCACAGCTTCTTAAAGATTAATGATAGACTTGAATTCGACAATGTAAAATACAACTTTCAAGAAAAAAAAAAGGGAGAAGGCTGCTTGTTAATTAGTGACCAATCCCCTTGGACATGCTTTCTCATCACATGTAAGTAAAAACTATTTTACAATTACACAATTTTTACTCAAAACAACTCAAAGTATTAGCACATTATCTCAGCTATTCTCATAACATACCTTATAAAATTATAAGCTTGCCATCAGTTCTATTTTTTGGTGCTTAATTATCTGAATTAACTCCAGGACTTCCTTACTGATATAAAATTGTTTCTCCCAGAATTTAAGTAAAAACAATATAACGTTCTTCAAGAAAATCACCTAATATTTTCATATATTTCTTATATTCATATTTTGCTAGTGTGCGCAAGCAATAAATTTTGACTAGCCAGATCATTAAAGTCACCCACTCTCCTTCATACAACACATGACAGTTTGTTCCCTAAACGAAATATCGAGATTAAGAAACTTACCAAGTTTCCAGCAGGTACTCCAAGGTCAGCCAGGTAGAGAAGGGAACTGAAGAATCCCTGAAAGCAGCCAGCTCTAGACAAAGCCTCCCCCATCTTAATACTGAATATTTTGTACTAAAACTTTGGCTGGCAAGAATCATAACCAACACCTCAGTGATGAGAACTACTAAGTACCAACGGAGCCAGAGGGGACAGTCCTGGACGAGTTACCTCTTTGCAGTCTTTCACAATTGGCTGTATCACACTGAGGTCCTGATGACTGCCGCTCATAGCGCTGCTTGTACTTTTATTTCTTGTGTGCCCCTTTTTAAAATGTGCCTTTCCACCTGGCAGAGGCTCCTGTGTAGGCGATGTTGGAGAACTGGACAATACAAGTGTCTTCAATGCAGCTACTTCAGCTTGAAGGACATCAATCTTGAAAAGAAATCATCATAGTCACATATACTGAATATGTTTTATAACAGATGCAGCTAAATGTTAACATTTATTTGGTAACTTTCAGAGATGAAACGTAAGTTTAATGTGTATTTCCTATGGAGTAATAAAAGACCCTGATGCTGGGAGGGATTCGGGGCAGGAGGAAAAGGGGACGACAGAAGATGAGATGGCTGGATGGCATCACCAACTCAATGGACATGAGTTTGAGTGGACTCTGGGAGTTGGTAATGGACAGGGAGGCCTGGCGCGCTGCAGTTCACGGAGTCGCAAAGAGTCGGACACGACTAAGAGACTAAACTGAACTGAATAAGAGAAAAGTAAACTAAATGGGTTTTTTGGGAGGGCCTTTTATTTTTAATCAGTTTTTTTATGTTCCCATACAGTCTGGATTCAGCTGCTATTCACAATGTCAGATGAAAATTTTAAAATTATCAAAATGTTTAACATTTCACTATGAGGATTTTCAGATGAGATCAGGTGTGTTCAGGGCAGTATGGCCACAGACATAACCAAGTCAATGGACATGAGTTTGAGCAAGCTCCAGGAGTTAGAGATGGACAGGGAAGCCTGGTGTGCTACAGTCCATGGGGTCACAAAGAGTGGGACACAACTGAGCGACTGAATGGATGTAAATTTTCAAAATCTTCATATTTAAAAACAGCTTAGGATTAGGTGCAGTTCATTTCTAAAACAGTAAAATCTAGTAACATTTCAGTGCCTTTTTTAGTGAATTAAAAAATAACTGACTTTAAAATGTAATTATATAATCCTTTTGATAATATGTGTGATTCACAAAGCTTTAAATCATTTGCTTCTAATATAAATGTACACCAAATGTTCACTATTAATTCTATGTAGTAGCTATTTTCTTCTTTATAGTGTCTTGTAGTTTTAAAAATCTTCTAAAGTGAGCACTAACTTTTATAATCAGAACAAATCCAATAAACATCAAGGTATTTTTCAAACTGTAATTACTAGTTTCTTTATATTTTATCCTATTAAAAGCAGTAAAAACTTACTTTTCCTTGTGCTTCTTTTAGTTGTTTTTCTGCTGTTGCCTGCTTGACATTTGCTTCTCTCACCATCTTATGAGCTTCCTGAAAAAGTTAACATCTCATATTTTGGAAACAAAGTATTTAGGATTTGTTTTCAAAAATCTTTCAACAGGTGTCTATGATTGAAACAAAGATAGACTAAGAAAATTTTGCCTAAAATTAAGTATTCAGTGTCAACAGCTGAAGAAGCAGGAACTGTCATCAGGCAGATCAATTATTAGGAATAAAGAACAGGTACCTTCTTTTAGTATCTATTACCACAGAGGCAGGCAAAGTTCGTTTGATCATTCTAATCAATACTTGTATAAAGACTGAAAATGTTAAAGGAGGAAAAGTCATGATCCACATGCCAAACCCAACTTCTCTACAGTTAGGTTTTTATAATTTGTATTCACATTACTACACAGAGCAAAGACATACCGGAGAAACAAGCAAAAGTACTACAGTAATGCTGCAGTTTATAGGAGTAACAGCTGAGAAGCCTTAGAGCTTCCAATAAAAATACTCACAAATCGATATTAAATCTTGGTTTTGTGCAGAGCAATAGAAAAAGGTTGAGTCTATCCTTTCATAAGATCTTAATTTTTTAGTACCAAATATATGAAACTCTAGGTATTTAATTCCCCTTTATTCACACAACATTTATTCATAACATCTATTCCTGAGATACCATTCCAGGTGCTGATAATTCTTAAGGAGCTTACACTCTGAAGACATTCTAATAATCAAATAAAATATGAGTACAAATTCTGGATTTTATTCTAAATCCATTATGAAGCCTTGTGGCTTTTTAAGAAAGAGAATGACATTATGTTATTTGTATTTTGAAAAGCTTTCTCTGCTGTATGGAATAATCCCTATAAAATACGAAGGTGGACTGGAACAGTACACAGGGTGCTTGCAACAGTCCCCCAGGATGTAAGAGCATAGATCTTAGAACTTCAGTTTACTGTTCATGAGGAAGAGAGTGATGGAGGCAGAAGGAAAGAAATCAGCTTCAAAGACGTTTAACAGTTTGACAAGAGAACCCTCACTCGGTCTGTTGACTGTTCAGGGAAGAGTGGAGATTCTCCATACCAGAATTCCACGATGGCACTCCCATTTGTTCATTTGCTCTCAGAGTATGTAACGACATTGCACCTTGTATGTGCCCTTGTATTATAATAAATTTACAGACATTATTTTAAATAAGAAAAGCTTTACTATCAATGCTTATAATGAGATGAGATTAACTGTCAGAATATTCCATGCACCATTATGCTGGCTATCTTGTGTCAAAGCCTGTAGGAGCTATCAAATTTAATAATGAGATAAGCATTTTTCTTTTAAAAATAACAAATATTTCAGATGTGCTGAATTTGTACAAGTGGCTGTCATTAAAATACTACTTGACAGGTAGTTTCCAAATAATAAGTATATCTAATCTAATCCTTCAAGATAAGTGACATTTTAACTATGAATCCAGAAGTAACATGTGCTATGGAGAGAATATTTGTTTAATGTTTAGAATTGGATTCTGTTTTCATTAATGGCGGACCATGCAACTTGGAACAAACTTCCTACAGAGAATAGTTTTCAAAAGCTGGACAAATTATTTTAAAATGTTTTTGAAGGCAATAGAGAGCAACGAAATAGTGAAGAACCAGAGGACCAAGATCCAGAAGAAGTAAACTGAGGAAAGTGAGCTGAAACTTGGGGTGATTTGTCCCCTTAGAGATATAAGGGATATACTGAAGAGGTATAAAATAAATATAACTGGAGTCCAAAAAGGAAAGAGAAAAGAGCTAGAATGAGGCAAGAGGAGTATCTAAAATGATAATTCATAGGATTTTAAAAACTGACAAAAGATATCAAAAGATATATGAGCTTGAAAACTTTTCTATCACTGTCATTCTGAAACCAAAAAATTATATAAGTATCATCTACACAGCAAAGTCAGTAAACTTTCTAGAAAGGCCAGATAGTAAGTAGTTCAAAATTCTAAGCCATATGGTCTGTGTTATAACGACTCAACTCTGCTGCTATAGTGTGAAGACAGCCACAGACAATAAAACAATCAATGAGTGTAGCCATTCCAATAAAAATTCATGGGCACTGAAATATGAGTTTCATAGAGTCTTCATATGTCACAAAATATTTCTCTTTTCGATTCTTTTTCCTCCTCTTACCATTTGAAAATGTAAAAACCAACCTTGGTTCATTAGGTTGCACAAAAGTATTTTATAGGCCAGTTTTGGCCTGCAGGCTATAGTTTGCAGACCTGTGATCTATACAAACATTCATGTCCATATATTTACAAACACTGAAGACAGAATTTTTTTCCTCTCTGGTTAGCAGTGATTCAAATTAAGTTGATCTTTTTTTTTCTTTCTTAAAAATAATGTTTATTCACCATCTACTGATTAGTTTTCAAAAACAATTTGTTTTTGAAGACAAAAATTCACTAGAGAATGTTATGGAAAAACTTTCACATGACAAGCAATGGGACTGAAAACTCAGTATCATGATTTATTATAGGAAAAGACATACTCGTTCCTTTCAGATGAGTATACCTGTGAGTTATCAATAGCATTACATCTAAATTTTAAAAATGGAATTTAGACCACATCATCATCTGGATCATAAATTTAAAACAAGGTTTCAAAAGCAAGATAACATTCAATCACAATGCTCTCACTAAATAAATATACACATATATAATATGTTTTAGTGAGAATACTTCTGCATTATAAAAAATTTAAGTATTTTTATTATTTCATTATTTTATTTTTAAAACTTTTGTGTTTTATATGTATGTAATATTACGATGGGTGTTAGTATATGTGCATAATTTATAAGTAAGTACATACGTCTTAGAACAGTGCCTGGTACATAGGGAATTCTTAATATCTTCATCATAATGAAGGTTCATGCTCAAATTTGTCTCTGTGACTTGAAAGAAAGGGAAGTGCCATTTATGACTTTCACCGTACTTAAAAGCAAGATCAAGGTCATGAATTTGAGTCCCAGCATTCTTCTTAACTCTACTTATGATTTTCTTCACAGACAAAATAATTTGTACTATATGTTCTTATAGCATTGTTGAGAGAAACTAAGCATATCAAAGACATTTACTAAAATTGGCTGAAAAAACAAAACCATCTTAAGACTACATGTCTTTTTTTCCATGTTAAACGTAGATTACTTTGTAAAGCATTCTTTCAACTTATTTCATTTTATATTTTACATTACCTCAAAATCCATAATACTATAAGAGAAATTATATATACACATACACACATATATACAACTTTATAATCTTGTATTTTTTGCTAAATACAAAGTATAATTATATTCAAGATCATTCATCATAAATTCCTAATCTCAGTTTATAAGCTTACCAAAATTATATAAATTGAGTTTATTCAGAATAATCTTTAATTCTTAAAAAAAACTATTTACACATATACACAAAATGTAAGCAAAAATATTTTTTCATAAAACAATGGTAAACTGAGATCATGAAGGCACAGCTGAGACCACAGAAAAATTTTCTCTACTTTTTTCCTAAACTCAGTAAGCAGTTGGTTTGAATATAATTTTCTTCATTACTGAAATCATCTTTAATTAGTGTAGTTTCTTTCCCAGAAAGTATACACAGTTAAGGTTATTAGTCACTATTAGGTCAGAGATAAATTAGGGACCCCAAAATTATGCTTTTTAGATAACTTTTTCATTCATTGCACAAACTGCACTTCTGCTGTTTCACATCCTGCTAGAGACAGGGAAAAGTTTCTGTTTGTTCTCCTACTTCACCTAACAAAATGACATGTACGTGCAGCTGGGGGGAACTAAGTGGGGGCTAAAATTAAGGGCAGGCTGGTAGGAAACCAACATTAACATAAGCAGCATAATGTATTTGCCTTCTTATCTACTAACACTATATTATAAAATTTACTTCTAACCAGACATTTCTGAAAGAAACGCCTTATGTTTCTGTACACTCCTTCTACATATAAAAATGTAACATTACATAACTCCTGTTCCAGATCTTTGTATGTTAGTAGCTCAGTCATGTCCGACTGAGACCCCATGGACTATAGCCCACCAGGCTTCTCTGTCCATGGGATTTCCCAGGCAGGAATACTGGAGGGGTTGCCATTCCCGTCTCCAGAGAATCTTTCTGACCAAGGGATCAAAGTCAAGTCTCTGGAATTGCAGGCGGATTTTTTGCCATCTGAGTCACCAGGGAAGCCCTCCATATCTTTAATTTCCCACTATTTCTAAGCTTAAATTTATCTTCCTATTATCTGCGATAACTAGCTAACTAAACAAAAAAAAAAGTTAGTTTTTAAACATTCATGAAAGAAAATCACCCCAAAAAAGACAAGTGAGAGAGCAAAGGGGTGTGAGCAGAGGGGGGCATGGAAAGCCCACACCTCTGAAAATATCCTCTGCAATATTACTTATAACAATAAAAACTGTGGCATATACACTTGATAGATTATGATTTTCATTACACTGACTATGTAGTAACATGAAAAGATGTTATTTAAAGTATAAAATATATTAGGATTACAACTATGCAAGCAAATATGCATATCTAAAACTAAAAAAGACTCTGCATATACAAAAATAACAAAGGTGAAGAAACTCTTCCCTTAAAACCCATTTTTACATTAAAAATTTTAAGAACAAATTTTCAGGGGAAAAAAGAAAATATTAGTAAAGTGATAATGACACTAGCCATTCTAGTAACACATCAATGTTTTTGATAAGGAACCTCTGAAGGCTAAAGATCTTATAACCTAAAGGAGGTGTGCTAGAAGTGTTTCTTAACCTAGAAAATAATATCCTCTTACCACCCTCCACAAGGATACTTAAAAGTTGTCAAAATGATGAGGGAGTATTACTAGAATACTGGGGGCAACATCAAGAGTGATGGTTAATTCTGTGTGTCAACCTGACTGGGCCCCAGGTGCCCAGGCATTTTAGTTAAACGTTCTGGATGTTTTTGTGAAGATGCTTCTGGATTAGCTACTATATGAACTGGTAAAGTGAGTAAAGCAGATTGCCCTCCACAATGTGGGTGTGGCTCATCCAATCAGCTGAAGGCCTGTTAGAACAAAAAGGCTCATCCCCCAAAAGAAAGAATTCTTCCTGCTTTCAGACTTAAGTTGAAACACCAGCTCTTCCTGGGTCCCAAGCCTGCCAGCCTTTGAACTAGAAACTAGAATTACATCATCAGCTCTCCTAGTTCTCTGGCCTCTGGGCTGAGACTGGAACTACACCATCAACTCTTCAGGGTCTCTAGTCTATCAACTCATCCTCCAGGTTCTGGACCTGCCAACCTCCTTACATAAGCCTCTTTCTACACATATATAGATACATGTATGCACAGACATGCATCCTATTGGTTCTGTTTCCTGGAAAGCCCTGATTAATACACCAAGGATGCTAATGTCCTACAATGTCAATGGCACCCCTACTGAGAAACACTACTAGAATTGGGTAGAAATTTTGATCCTGTGGCAGGCTGGAGACAAAGGTAGGTGCATTCTAATGTTTCTCAAATCATCCCCTTTCAGAAAACTACCTCAAAGGTTTCCATCTGTGTTATGGAATCACATAAAGTTACTTGAAAGCAGCCCCTAAATAGTTGGTAAAATAAATTAAAATTTACCTCCTCTCTTTTCATTCATATTTTTAAACCACCCGATTCTAGTAGCCCATAGTCTTTTACATCATTTTAAGTTGTAGCCTCTACATTTCTTAAATATTTTTTTAGAGGACTTACAAATATGCATGAAGCTAAGCATATCATTTTCAAGATTCCCTCAAAAAATAATTCTATCAATATATAAAAATTAAGACATTGCTCTTGACCAAGACATAAACAGACCAACCTCAAATAGACTAGCTGTGAGTTCCTCCAACTCCTGTCCAAGTTGATCTCGTACTTTAGAAAGCCTCTCACACTCTTCATCTTTTAACTTCAGTTCCTATGAGAAATTGATCATTTTATTTTTTTTAACTTCCAAAGTTTGATGTTAGACTCAGAAGACTATATAGTCTTTACTAATAAAATTATAAAATATTAATACTGCCCCCTCCTACAACATTCACACTGGAAGTTTTTATTTAGCACTTGCTATGTGGAAACAACCAGGCAAATCTAAAGTTACAAATAATTCTAACTCCCATATTAAATTTTCATAAAATATACAAAGATTAAGTATAACTATTCATTACCTGTGAAAATAAACAAAGAACTTCATTTTTTTTCCTTAACGTTGCTCTGAAAATATTTGTTTCCATCAAGTAAGGAATTTCTTCAATTAACACAGGTTCATTTCAATAAATGTTTAGTGACGTTGTTTCATGTTTACCTTAACAATTGTTTACCTATAGATAATTTCATGCACCATATTGCAATTAGTATAAAATGTCCATTAGGAGACTATACCCATTTAACACTGTGAGACAAGCAATGTATATTATATTTAAAATCAAGAAGAGTATTAATGACAAAAATCCTGTATTTATACATAACTCCTCAAAAGGTAATACATAGATGCTAAAAAATTCCTTTATTAAGATGTTAAAATATGCAATTTTAAAAAATTTTGTATGTAAATTTATCTTTCAAACTTAGAGATTAAAAAAAAATCCAAGCTCCCTATATATTGGCCAGAGATACACTAATAAAATAATGAGTTAGTTGTGCTATAACTGTGGTGGCAGCATAGTTTCTGAATTCTCCAACAACTCCTAAAATCACTGCAGATGGTGACTGCAGCCATGAAATTAGAAGATGATTGCTTCTTGGTATGAAAGTTATAACAAACCTACACAATGTGTTAAAAAGTAAAGACATCACTTTGCCAACAAAGGTTTGTATAGTCAAGGCTACGGTCTTTGCAGTGGTCATGTACAGATGTGAGAGCTGTACCATAAAGAAGGCAGAGCACCAAAGAATTGATGCTTTCAAACTGTGGTGCTGGAGAAGACTCTTGAAAGTCCCTTGCACAAAACAGAAAAAGAGACTCAGATGTATAGAACAGACTTGTGGACTCTGTGGGAGAAGGCGAGGGTGGGATGTTTCAAGAGAACAGCATCGAAACATGTATATTATCTAGGGTGAAACAGATCACCAGCCCAGGTTGGATGCATGAGACAAGTGCTCGGGCCTGGTGCACTGGGAAGACCCAGAGAGATCGGGTGGAGAGGGAAGTGGGAGGGGGGACCGGGATGGGGAATACATGTAAATCCATGGCTAATTCATTTCAATGTATGACAAAAACCACTGCAATGATGTAAAGTAATTAGCCTCCAACAAATAAAAATAAATGGAAGAAAAAAAAAAAAGAAAGTCCCTTGCACAGCAAGGAGATCATATCAGTTAATCTTAAGGGAAATAAACCCTGAATACTCTTTGGAAGGACCGGGGCTGAAGCTGAAATTCCAATACTTTGGCCACCTGATGTGAACAGTCGACTCATTGGCAAAGGCCCTGATGCTGGGAAAGACTGAAGGCAGAAGAAGAGGGCAACAGAGGATGAGATAGTTGGATGGCATCACCGATTCAACAGACATGAACTTGGGCAAACTCCACGAGATGGTGAGGGACAGGGAAGCCTGGTGTGCTGCAGTCCATGGGGTCATGAAGAGTTGGACATGACTTGGTGACTGAACAACAACTCCTAAAAATCAAATATACCGACTGGGATATCAGAAGAACCCAATGATTACATCTTCAACAAAACTAACTAAAAGTGAATCCTCACAAACTGTAGACCCTGAGAAAACGTGGTTACACTGCCAGACCACAGAATCATGAGTTATGTGGAAGGGACCACCAGAAGTGAAAGCACTTCCATTCCCACAGTCCCAATATCCCCCACCCCCTCTGGTGGAGGCTTTAAGACTAGCAGGTGAATCTCCCTCACTTATGGTCTAGGTAATTTTCAAACTGCTGCTTTTGTGCTAGGTCTCAGGGTGAGTCTGCATGTGAGTCTTTCAGATTGGAATCTCAGTTCCCTAGAGTTTTTGGGTCTCCTGGATATAAGCCCCATTGATTTTCAAAGCCAAATGTTTTGGGGCTTATCTCTCCACTGCAGGTCCCAGGGGTTGAAGTGCCTAATGTGGGGGCACAAACCCCTTGGGAAATCCAATTCATTTAAACATGAAAGACATAAAAAAGTTATGTGAAGTTACCATTATAAAAAAGTTAAACATAAAGCCAAGTCAGGTACAAAGTAAAGAAAATCAGATAGGTATCAAATTTCAACAGCATTTTATGCTAAAAAACAATGGAGTCATATCTTTAAGATACTCAAGGGGAAAAAAAATGTGAGTTGAGAATTTTATATCCAGTCAAAGTATCCTTCAAATGTAAGACCAGAGACTAAAAGTTATAAACCTGTCACACTTTAGAAACTCTATCTCCCATGAGCTTTCCAGAGTAATCAGGCAGTGAATGAGTTCTATATAATCAAGAAAAAGGAGGAGAAGCTTTAACATTAAGGACAGGGGATGAGAAACAAATGTATTTAACTGTAGAACTACAAATAAAAGATGAGGATACACAAGAATGAGAAGACAAGCCACAGACTGGGAGAAAATATTTGCAGAAGACATCTGATAAAGGACTGTTAGCCAAAACATACAAAAATTCCTAAAACAACAGTAAGAAAACAATTTGATTAAAAAGTGTGCAGAAGATCTGAAACGACACCTTGCCCAAGTTATAGAGCTATCAAATGAGCACATGAAAAGATGTTCCATATTATATGTCATCAGGGAAATGCAAACATGATTCCACCACACACCTATCAGAACGACCAAAAAGCAGAACTACAGCAACACATACTGACAAGGATGGAAGACAACAGGAATTCTCACGCATTGCTTGGGGGAATACAAAATGGTACAGCCACTTTGGAAGACTTTCAGCAACTTTTTTGCAAAACCAAACATATTCTTACCACACAATCCAGTAATCATACTCCTTGGTATTTACCCAAAGGAACTGAAAACATATCCACACAAAAGCCTGCACACAGATGTTTATATATTCATAACTGCCAAACTTGGAAGCAACCCAATATGCTTCAGTTAAGTGAATGAATAATTAAACTGTGGTATATCTAAACAACAAACCATTACTCAGCATTAAATGGAAATGAGCTATCAAGCCATGAAAAGATACGGAGGAAAAGAAATGCATGACTAAATAAAAGAATCTAATCTTAAAAGGCTGCATGCTGTATGATTCCAACTATATGACATTCTGAAAAAGGGATAACTATGGAGACGGTAAAAAGATCAGTGGGCTGCCAGGTACTCAGAAGTAGGGAGGGATGAATAGGTAGAACATAAAGGATTTTTGCAATGCAGGAGAGCCAGGTTTGATTCCTGGGGCAGAAGATTCCCTGGAGAAGGAAACAGCAACCCACTTCCATATTCTTGCCTGGAGAATCCCACAGACAGAGTAACTTGACAGGCTACAGGCCATGGGGTTGCAAGAGTCGGACATGACTTTTTGAATAAACTACCACCACAGAGGATTTTTAAGACAGAGAAACTAATCATATGATACTAATGACAGATATACATCATTATGTTTTAGTCAAAACCCATAGAAATTAAACTAGAATTAAATGATAGAGGTAAAGGAAAGTAAGTTACTAGATAATTTTATAGTGTTGCTTATAGTAGGGAACAAAGTCAGTATCTAAAGAAAGGCTAAGAGAAATTCTTTGATTAAAGATAACAACTAGAATAGAAATCAAACCTTCCAAAATACAAAAAGGAAAAAAAGAAAAAAAGCAATAGAATGTAAAGAAAACAGTACACATAGTGAAAATATTTGTATACACACAGAGTAGACATTTGAAAGCTATGTGACAGAAACAAGCCTAAATACAGCATTTTTTTCAATAAACATAAATGTGTGTAACTCACTTATTAAAAGAAAATTTTCAGACTGGCTAAAACAGCAAAATCCATCTCTAGTCTCTACACAAGAGATACACCTAAAATAAGTAATTCAGACAGATTAAAAATAAAAGGTTGGGTAGAACTGTACTAAATATAATACAAATAAAACCAAAATAGAGACCTCAATACTGATATCAGACACAAGGCAGAAGTCATTAAAGAAGATAAAAGAAACTTCATAATGCTAAAGACTACAACACAAAATGAAACCTTAAAATACTCTCAAATACAAAATACAAAAGTAGATCGAATAGGAAGAAAGACATATTATGTTCTTGAATAGAAATTAGGAAGTCATCATAAAGATGCCAATTCTCCCTGCGTTTTTAAATCTACAAATGCATAAATTTAATACCAGGTCCTTCTGAACTCTAAAATTTCACAATTTTATAACTATATGTGAAACTGAGTCAATTCATTCAACATTTACTACTACATAGGTATTATGGTCACCCCTCAGGATACCAACTTCTTTGAGAAGTTTCCAATCCTTAGAGCAAAACATATATCATTCACAAAAGCAAATTCTTGACTCGTTCCCTACCATCTACCACAGTAAACCTCATCCTGATATTAAAGACCCTCTACAACATGTGCTCACTTTCCCTTTTCAGAGTTATTACCCTTGATCCACACTCTAAAACTAGAGTTAAATTGTCCTGATTTGTTCCTGTTTCATTTCCCAATTTGATCTCATCCACCTGGACTGCCATTAACATTTGACTCTTTATGCTTCTAGATCCAACTCAATCTACCTATATGAACTCAAGTTTGTATTTCATATGAATACTTTTTAAAATGTCACTTGTACTTTTCATTATCAGTACCTTATACTGTAATACAGCTATATGAAATTAACTCCTTCAACAAACACTAATTTTGTGTTAACAATTCATCAGGTATTCATCAAGCATCTGGAAAGAGGAAAGGAAGGAGGCCTGCTCCATGCTTTTCATAAAGCCACAGCCTACTAACGGTGGCAAATATTTAAATAGATTCA